TATATTCTTATTACTTTTTGTTTTATTATTTTTATAAAAATATATATAAAATTTTAACGTGGCTTAACCATGATCACATAAACAGAAAATGATAGAAAGAGTATGGAAATGGAAGGGTAGACAATCCACCTCCAAAACAAACTGATCCCCTCCTCCGACCTTCCTTTTCCTTTTCATTTGGTTACTGGATTATTCCGATTTTTTGATTTTTTTTTTTCAGTTTTCCACACCCCTATACTATGTAGTTTTCAGTGAGTGCCGTAGCACAATTGAATGTTGGCTTGATCTACCGGGCTCAGTATTGAAGACTGGTTATTGTTGAGTATGATCGAACGACTTGAAAAACGTCGATGCTCAATGTATGTATGGATCAAAGAAAAATTGTGTGAAAGGTTAGAAGATGTAGACTTCGTTCGAATTGAGTCACTCTAGTCCTAATTTTCAACTATGAACGATATACTTGAGAATATTTGTGGTTTGTTTTAGAAAGGCAACTGGTGTATGTGTGGCTCCTTCTGGATTATACTAAATTGTTATGATTTATAAAGTTGATTTTATGAATACTATTTATAAACTGTGATCGACGGACTTGTTTTATGATTATCACATACGTCACATTATTATCATTCACACCCTTATATATCTTTTGGCAACCTACCAATGTTAGATTTATTGTACAGTTGTATATTTGTGACAGAGACCCCGTTGCCTTGAAAATATTATGAATTTAAGTTTAGTATTTCTTGCATGTGTTTCTCTGTACCCAGTACAATCGAACATTACGCATTGATCTTGAATATATATCGAAATCGGAGCGTGACAAATTGAGCCACAAGGTGAGATTATGGATAAAATGGGTGAGGTGCAGGGTGTGGCATCAAAAAAAGAAAATTCGGGTTCTTGGTTTGCTTCCTGTGAAGGGACAGATCAGCCTCAGGCCAGTCCCCCTCCCCTCCCCCTACAAACTTTCATGTCTAATCAAATATCACTATCCCAACCCAAAGTGCAAATTAACACCCACATAATACAATGACCAAAATAACCATCCTCCATGTCAATGTCACGCCTGCCTCAGTGACTATCCACTCCAGGTCCTTTCGGTCAGTTCATTCCATAGGTTCCACACCTACCCGTAGCGTCTAGGAGCAAATTTTGGGGGTAGGGTTGCCCTTCACTTCATGTCAACTGTACTCACACAAAATTTCAACCCCTTTTCTTTTTAGGGTGAGGATCCCATCCGGATCCAAATGGTAGGGATTCTTTGGTTCCTCACATCTTAGCCGTTTATTGTATATCGTACAGTCAGTTTTCATCGGATACTATTTATGTTTAATTTTAAATAATAAAATTTAAACTATTTATGATCGTACGATATATTATGAACGGTTAGGATGTGAGGATCCTTAGGATCCCTATCATTTGGATCCGGATGGGATCCTCATCCTTTATATTTTGGCCTCATATAATTTAATTTGGTGTTATTCGATCTAACTCATAATGTACATGCTATTGATTCACCAACGTCAATAATTAAACTCATAACATACAGACATGAAATTCGTCTCTAATCACTGAGTTACTAGTTGAGAGTGACGATAGATAAATGTTCAACCTGTACCACTTGGTGATTCCAATGCAATTTACCACTGTTTCTCTAACATAGTAAATTTAGCCATTTCTTGTTCCACATAGTAAAGAGACTCTGGACTTACCAATGTTGGAAATTTAAGAAATTATTGCTCTTTTCTGGATTCAAAAAATACTTGATACTTTTAGAAAATTACATTTACTACTGGTACCTAAGTTTGGCATACAAGTATTTTTTTTCGTGTTTGTGTTGTTTGTGTTTATATTTTTGTGTCAAATTAACGAATCATTTAAGAAATTGACATGTTTATTGATACGAACCAATTTTTGAACAAACAAAAAATAATAATAATAAAAATTAAATTCAAATTTATCTGTAGCTGTAGGAAAAGTAGAAGTTGGGTCACATTTTATCCACTGTAAACTTGGAACTTTCTCCTTCACCTTTTGGCGTTGAGCGGCAAGGAAACCTCCTCGTCTACGAGCAAGGACAGTCACACAACTCGCGTTTCCAACCTCACTCCTCTTACTTCTTTTATTTTTATTTCTCACCCAAATCGTGTGGACCCCACATTACTCAAAGGTACCAATATTTATAAATTTTGCCCCATCAACAATAAATACATGGTAAGATCGTACAAGTATTTATGAATTTTGCCCCATCAACAGTAAATACATGGTAAAATGGTACAAATATTTATGAATTTTGCCCCCACCAACAATAAATAAAAAGAAAACTAATGAAAAGAGTTTGAAAACTTTGAGTTTTAATGATAAGGACAAAATAAAGGGTAAAATGAATAGTACCATGATTGACTTTTTAGTATAAAAATGTGGTTTTTCATTAAAGTGAACAGTACCGGGTGCTTGTCGTTAAAGTTCCCATAAATAAATGGTAAAATTTATCAATTGTCTTCTCAACTTGTGATGTTGTTTCTATTTGTCCCTCGACTTTTAATTTGAGCTCCCTTGTCTTATGAACGTGTTGATTTGCCCATAATTGTCAAATTTATCGTATTTATTAGACTTGATAGTTTCTTACATGACTCGTTACAAATGAAATGACGTGAAAATAACAGGTTTCGCGTTAACATGTTACGAGTCGAATTATTATCGGGTGACCTGTTAAGAATCTGTTAACAATTTGGACATGACACGTAAATGACCAATTTGTCAAGTCTAGACATTAGGCCTAACAATTTCTTACAAGACCGATAATCTGACATGAAACGACATGGCTCGTTAATAGGTCGGGTCGTTATTGGGTCACCTGTTAAGAATACGTTAAGATAACAAGTTTGACGCAAAATGATACGTTAAGATAACGAGTATGACACGAACACGACAAACTCGATTTATTTGCCAAGTCAAGCATTGTTATTTTTTTCCAACTCTATTTAACCAGAATAAAGCCATTAATGAACAGAATGCCATAGATGAACGTAAGGAAAATTTGATATGTTTTAAAAGATTAGAATGTCCAATATCAAAATATAAATTCTTAGAGCCCCAAAAACCCAATATATATATATATATATAAATTCTTAGAGGATAACCAAAATAAAGTACTAAGGGTGCGTTTGTTTGATGTTATTAAGGGCGACTCGCTTAACTGGGACTACAGTCCCATGTTTGGTGCAGATTAGGATTAAAGTAAATGAGACTAGCTGGGACTCGCTTAAACTACGGCCCTCGCTAACGTATCACTACAAATCCCGTGCTCCACCATGGGATTGCTAAGACCCCCTATAATCCTATCTTCTGCATCATCAGCTATTGCGCGCCCCATCGCCCAAATCAACCTCGTCGCCAACTCCAACACCTCGCCAACGCCTCGTGCTGGAAATTTTCTTGCCCGTTGATTTCCAATATGTTGAGAAAAAACCCAGAAACCCTAGATCCCCAAATTGAAATCTGAAATATGAACAAACAGAAATCGCAGCCCAACATGTCAAGAAGATGTTCAGCTTGAAGAGATTGGGGCGTTTGGAATTGAATTGATCACTTCAAAATGATGTTTAGCTGTGCTTTATCAACAACTATTCCTATTCTGAATCTTGTCTCAAAATTGACCATAGTTATCCTGCATAACATCTACAAACAAATTACTAACACATCTTGAAGAGATTGGGGCTTTTGCAACTGAATCACACTACATGATTGGATTCCATTGAAGAGATTGGAGACGGTGGTTGGGATTTTTGGAAGCAGAGAAAATAAAAGGTTAATATCAGTGAAGAAGAAGAGCAGAGAATAGCTTTTGTGAATGCAATGAGATAAAAAAATTATAAAACTGAAATAAAAAATTATAGAAGTGAATCAAAAATAGCAAAATATTAATCTGTCACTTTAGTCCGACACTGCACCAAACGTTTCATTAAGCTAGTCCAGCTTAGTCTAGTCTAAACCAGTCCAGCTTAGTCCTTGCAGCTAGTCCAGTTCGAAACAGTCCGATGCAACAAACGCACCCTAAGTTCATTAGGCATCACTAACTCTATTAACAAATTTAAGATACTTCAAGATTTTAAGACAATAGGCTAGTAGCTTAGTTAATTAAAAACAATCTTGTTTGCACTCAAATTACTTAATTCGAATTATCTTTCATACAATATCGTTTATATCTCAAAAAAGAAAAACGAGAATTGAATCGGACAAAGTAGAGTAGCATAAAAAGAAAGATCTAGTTAAACACCATAAACCCATTTTAAGTTAGAAAATTTAGTCCATACAGATCGCATTCGATTCTTGAATTTGAGGACTTATTAAACTGTAACTTGACTTAAAAGTAGATTAATTAACCTAATAATACCACTAGAAAATAAGGAAACTAATGAAAAAGGTTTTGAAAACTTTGAGTTTTAACAATAAGAACAAAATAAAGGGTAAAATGAATAGTATCGGGATTGACCTTTTAGTGTAAAAATATGATTTTTCGTTAAAATGAACATTACCTAGAGTTTTTCGTGAAAGTTCCCTAGAAAATAATTAGCCAACAACAACAAAAAGTTATACAAAATACATTATTCTAATCGACCATTGCAATTACATCCATACATGGTGCCAAAATAGAATAAGGAAAAGAGATGGGGACATGACAAGCACAAAAAACAGAACCCCTATTTTCCGAAGCACCAGCACATTTGAAAATACTAAAGAAATGCCTAAAACGAGACAAAAAGCCGGATTCTCTGAAGCTGCCAAAGTAGGGCACTGCTGGATCTATATGCTAAGTATGGTAAACATTGTGCGGTCGAAACAGACATTCAAGAAATATGTGGGGCACAAAAGGGGCTCATTTGCAAATTCAACAGAATCGCTGTTGGGAGAGTACAAGTCACGTGAGCGGCGTGCCTTTCTTCTCTGACCGTATTAATAACACTCTCTTCTATCTTTTATGGCCTCCTTGGCATACACTCAACTCGCAGAGAAAAGCTATGGCGTTCAAGCTTCTTCTCAACGCTGGTGAAATGACACATTAGCCCTCTCTCCACCGCCATTTTTCTCTGAAAAACACAGCTTCCGACCCCTCTTGCTTCTTCTCAAGTTGCCCTCTCATGGCGTCGAAAAAGCCTCTGTTTATAGTAATTTTCTTAGCTTTTGAGTTCTCTTTCTACTCGCCAATGGAGTTTCCCACCAAAATGACCAAAACCCAGAAATGGAAGCCCTTCTTTCCTTCAAAACCGCCCTCGGAAACCCCACAGTTCTCTCCTCGTGGCGGCCCTCCGCCTCGCACTGCGACTGGGTCGGCGTTTCCTGCCAATTTGGCCGAGTCACCGCCCTCGCCCTTCCGTTCCTCTCCCTCAAAGGCCCTCTCCCTTCCTCCCTCTTCTCCCTTGCAAACCTTGTCGTGCTAGACCTCTCCTCCAACCTACTAAGCGGCAAAATCCCACGTCAAGTTCTCAACCTCAAACGCCTAAGCCACCTCTGCCTCACCGATAACCAGCTCTCCGGCGAAATACCCACCCAACTCGCCGAGTTAACTCAGCTAGAGACTCTGAAGCTCGGAACCAACTTTTTCGCCGGAAAAATCCCGCCAGAACTTGGAAATTTAGCACTGCTTCAAACCTTGGAGCTCTCCAACAATGGGTTCCATGGAGATATTCCTACCCAGATTGGAAACTTGACCCGGCTGCAGTTCCTGGACCTGGGCAACAATGTCCTCTCGGGTTCTCTTCCCTCTGCCCTGTTTCCAAAACTTCAATCTTTAGCTTCCATGGACGTTTCAAACAATTCATTTTCCGGCGCAATTCCACCTGAGATTGGTAGCCTGAAGGATCTCACCGAGCTCTACGTTGGCATCAACCATTTCTCCGGCCCGTTACCCCGCGAAATCGGTGAGCTTTCGCGGCTCGAAATTCTGTACGCTGCTTCCTGTTCCATAACAGGGCCGTTGCCGGAAGAGATTTCTAAGCTGGAATCGTTGACCAATATTGACCTCTCGTACAACCCGTTGAGGTGTTCGTTGCCAAAAGGCATTGGGAAGTTGCAGAAGCTGAGTATTTTGGATTTGGTCTTCACTGAGCTCAATGGCTCTATTCCTGCTGAGCTGGGGAACTGTAAAAGTTTGAGGACTTTGATGCTTTCGTTCAATTCGCTTTCGGGGACGTTGCCTGAGGAGCTCTCTGAGCTTCCGGTGATGACGTTTTCTGCCGAAAAGAACCAGCTCTCCGGCCTATTGCCTTCCTGGCTCGGAAAGTTGAAGCAAGTCGAATCGATTCTGCTTTCCAGCAATCTATTTTCCGGGAAGATTCCACCGGAGATTGGCAACTGCTCTATGCTGAGGTTACTTAGCTTGAGCAATAACATGTTGACGGGGCCGATTCCGGAAGAGCTTTGCAATGCGGGTTCGCTTTCGGAGATTGATCTCGATAGCAATTTTCTCTCGGGAACAATTGACAACACGTTTGTCAAGTGCAAGAACTTGACGCAACTCAACCTGGTGAATAATCAGATTGCCGGCGCAATCCCTGACTACCTTTCGGAGCTTCCACTCATGGTGATCGACCTTGATTCCAACAACTTCACGGGCACGATACCGAAAAGTCTTTGGAATTCGGAAAATTTGATGGAGTTCACAGCTTCGAACAATCAGCTGCGAGGTCCGATATCGAATGAGATTGGTCGGGCAGCCGTCTTGGAAAGGCTTGTTCTTAGTAACAATCAGCTGACAGGCACTCTTCCTACAGAGATTAGAAATGTCAGCAGCCTTTCTGTTCTAATATTGAGTTCGAATCTTCTGGAAGGGAACATTCCGCCTGAGCTTGGCCGGTGCACCGGTCTTACTACATTGGAGCTCGGAAACAACCTGCTCAGCGGGTCGATCCCGGCGGAGCTTGCGCAGCTGAGCCAATTGCAATGTCTGGTACTTTCTCACAACAATCTATCAGGTTCAATTCCTTCGAAAAAATCGTTGTACTTTCGACAAGTAAACATCCCGGATTTGAGCTTTGTGCAACATGTTGGAGTGTTTGATCTGTCCTACAATAGATTGTCCGGTGCAATACCGGAAGATTTGGGCGACTGTGTTGTTTTGGTGGATGTTTTGATCAGCAACAACCTGATCTCCGGTGAAATTCCAAGGTCCCTTGCTCGTTTAAGAAATCTTACAACTTTGGATTTGTCTGGGAACATGCTCAGTGGTTCAATTCCTCCAGAGTTTGGCGGTTCGCCGAAGCTTCAAGGCTTGAATCTGGCAAATAACCAGCTTACGAGCACCATACCGGGAAGCTTAGGTCGTTTGGGAAGCTTGGTGAAGCTTAATTTGACCGGTAATAAGTTGTCTGGTGCCATACCTGTGAGCTTTGGGGATTTGAAAGAGCTTACTCACTTGGATTTAAGCTCGAACGAGCTTGATGGCGAGCTTCCTTCATCGCTGTCAGGCATGCAGAATCTTGTGGGGTTGTATGTTCAGGACAACCGGCTTAATGGTGGTGTGGATAAGCTGTTCTCGAATACCATGGCTTGGAGGATCGAAAAGATGAACTTGAGCAATAATCTCTTTGATGGGGAGCTGCCCCATTCTCTTGGTAATCTGTCATACTTGACGGATTTGGATCTTCATTCAAATTCGTTTCGAGGAGAGATTCCTCCAGACCTGGGGAATCTGATGCAACTCGAGTTTTTTGATGTTTCAAATAACAAGCTCTCTGGAAGGATTCCAGATAAAATTTGCAGCCTCATCAATCTGTTTAAGGTGAACTTGGCAGAAAATAGGTTGGAAGGGCCGATTCCTAAGAGTGGTATCTGCCGGAACCTGTCAGAAAAATCGCTTGCCGGTAACAAGAAATTATGTGGGAGAAGTAAAAATTTGGATTGCCATGCCAAGAGTTTTGATAAATCAGCATTGTTGAATGCCTGGGGAGTTGCTGCTGTTGTAGTTGGAAGTGCTCTAGTCTTTATTGTTGCAGCTTATGCTGTAGTAAGATGGATCGCCCGAAGCAGCCGGCATGATCCCGAAGAAGCTGAAGAAAGCAGGTTGAGCAGTTTCATGGAACATAATCTCTATTTTCTCAGTAGCAGCAGCAGATCAAAGGAGCCTCTGAGCATCAACGTCGCCATGTTTCAGCAGCCGCTGCTCAAGCTTACTTTAGTTGACATTCTTGAAGCCACCAACAACTTCTGCAAGACAAACATAATAGGAGACGGAGGCTTTGGAACTGTGTACAAGGCCACATTGTCGGATGGGAAAACAGTCGCGGTTAAGAAGCTAAGCGAGTATAAAACTCAGGGCCATCGAGAATTCATCGCTGAAATGGAAACCCTGGGTAAGGTAAACCACCAGAATGTCGTTCCATTACTCGGGTACTGCTCTCTTGGCGAGGAGAAGCTCCTTGTTTACGAGTATATGGTAAATGGGAGCCTGGACATTTGGCTGAGAAATCGGACTGGGGATCTTGAAGTCCTAGATTGGGACAGACGTTTCAAAATCGCAATGGGTGCAGCCCGCGGCCTTGCTTTTCTTCACCATGGATTCAGCCCCCACATCATCCACAGGGACATCAAAGCCAGCAACATCTTGCTCAACGAAGACTTCGAGCCCAAAGTTGCAGACTTTGGACTCGCAAGGTTGATCAGTGCCTGTGAGACTCACATTAGTACTGATATAGCCGGAACATTTGGCTACATTCCACCGGAGTATGGACAGAGCGGGCGGTCTACCACAAAAGGAGACGTCTATAGTTTTGGCGTGATACTGCTCGAACTGGTGACAGGGAAAGAGCCAACCGGACCCGATTTCAAAGACTTGGAAGGCGGGAATCTAGTCGGGTGGGTTTTTCAGATGATGAAGAAGGCGAAGGCAGCTGATGTTCTTGATCCGGTAGTACTCGACGCGGATTCGAAGCGCAGGATGGTTCAAGTGTTGAAGATTGCCTGTGTGTGCCTCTCTGATAACCCAGCTCAGAGGCCTACGATGCTTCAAGTGTTGAAGTTTCTCAAAGAGATTAGTGATGAATAAAATGTAGAGTTTTATGTCAAGGATGTGATGACAATGATCATGTAAACTAATTAAGGTACAATTAGTCTGCTAATCTAATCAAAAGCTGGGGTTTCTTAATAAACATCGTTTAGTTTTCGTTTGTTTGAAGAAACCATTGAAACAAAGTCATCTCTTCCATTAAAAAACCTAAATTTTATATTTCAATGCGAATCAACTCCAACTCAAATACGAGTTTCATCCCGAACTCGAAACTTTGTAGGCCTCGATCAACTAGCATTACAGTTTAGTGGCGTTACTTTGAAATTTGTAAGTACAAAGTTCGATATCCAGTTATAGTTGATTTATGGTACGCACCAAAAGTTGAATATTTTAGACACGAATTCAATGGTGAAGTTGAAAAATAAGGCGACAAAGAAATAAAATTTTGGATAGGCGAAAATTTTGCGAATCGCCAACTTTCGTCTATGTTCAACCAGTAGGTCTCGCAATCAAGATTGCCCCTTTTACTTACGCATTTTCAATCAAATCATGATCCTTTTATGTATCTAACGAGTTTGAAGTAATCAGGCGTTCTACATATTATGAATAACATTTTTCATTCCACCTAGCAAGGCTAAACACTCATGGGTGACTGATGATGAAATAGTAGAAGGGTGAAAAGAATTCCCATTATGGGGTGATGGTTAATTGTTTTTTTTTTTGGTTATTTTGATTCCGGTCCCTAATCAAACTAATTGTTAGATTGAAACCTTGTTTGTTTAAATATTTTGATTGATGTCCTTAACATCATTTAAGAGATTTAACTCATGTATTTATGCATTTAATGTCCCACAAATTATGAAATTTAAATAAATTCAAATAATATTTTTAAAATACTAAAAAAATGAATAATGGAGTAATATTGTTCTTCGCAAAATTATAGCAAAAAAATAATGTACCCATATAATTATTAATATATTTTAAAAAATAACTACTGATATATTTTAAAACATAAAATAAATACATACAATTAGCAAATAAAAAGAAATTAATATATGGGCACTAAAAATAAATTAAAAATATGGGCACTAAAAAGAAATTAATATATGGGTACAAATTAAAAGTGAAAAGAAAATTGGCACAAATTAAAAAAAGGTTGCAAATCGAAAATGGGTACAAACTAAAAATGAAAGTATATGATAAACAATTTAGCCATAAATATAAATATACCATGTGTAACATTTCTAACAATAAATGAACATATTTAGAAATAAAAAAATAATTTATTATTGAAAATTTTAATGACATATATTAAAATCTAAGGATGTTGATAAAAATTTGAAAATGAATAATATTTTAAGGGAAATTTTATTTAAACTCATCTAACATATTTCTACATCCAACTTACTCTTTACACCCATTTGTTTTTTAACTAAACTATTAATATCTCTTTAAACCCAAATTTAATACCTAATATACCCTCATAAACCCAATTTAATATGTGGATTTATATTTACACCCATTGAACATCAGTGATTGTCGGTCTTTGTCCCTGTTATGCTCTGCTCTGTGAAGCTAATAACTTTCCTCTGCAAACAGCTAGCCAGCCTTGGTTTTTGGGGCAATGGTTGGGTAAAGTATCAATGTGTCGTCATGATTTGCTTGTACTAGGCATGTTTTTGAATTGCAATGAAAATCATTCGCCTTCACGAATCAAGGTTCCCGCAACGTTGATCGGAACATGCTTTTCTCCGACGCCTTTTTTGTTCGACTTCATCGGATGAGATGCCAAAGCCCTCACCCCAATATCACACTCATTGATCTCATCTACATCTCTAATGCATCCATCACCACAACACCTGCCCATCCCATGTTTTGAGCCAACTGTCCCAAGTTCCCTCCAACCAAAGCACATCTCATGCTTCCTCCGCCATCAATGACCAAAACTCTTCCCTCGCCTTTGGTTTTGAGAAGTTGTCTGACTAAGACATTGTCCTCGAACACCTTGAGTGTCGTAATGGGGCATGAGAATGCTCGGGATGGTCCGTATCCCTGGAAAATTGGTGGCAGCACACGCAAACCTCCGCTTCCCACAAGAGTTGTATTCGTATCACAAATTTCAGTAGTTGCTAAGGTAGCCATATTTCGCCTGCAGATGCATACAGTCTGCATATCATCAAAAAGTTATTTTTCCCTATGAGCGCTATTATGGTTTTAGCCAGAATGAATGTAGGATAAACAAAGAATAATCGTAGCGTTTAATTATAGTGTTTGGGTTTATTAATAAATTTAAGTTTTATTATTAATTTCATTTTGTACTTAATAGTAATTATACAATAGGGTAAAATAGACAATTAACATTCAAAATTTTAAATTGGGTGTAAAAAGAGGTTGCATGGGTTTAAATAAAATTTTTCTATTTTAATCAATTGAGTAGTAAAAAGAGAGATGTGAACCTAATTTCTCATTCTTTTTTTCTACCAATGTCCCACAAGTTAGTGGGTACTTGATCTACGTAGATTAAAGGTGAACACTCATCATTTATAACGAGCACCTTTAACAAGCAGGTAGCTAGCTTCCGCCTTACTTAACAGCATGCGTGAGATATGCTAGAACCAATTGTTGGTAAGAACATTTATATGAGGCATGCATAACCAGTGGCGGATCTACAGAGGGACCTGGGAGGTCCTAGGATCCTTCGGCGACCCTAAATCCCTGTTAGAAAATTTCCGGGGGACCCCTCGAACATAAGGTTTGAGCTGCTGCTGTGCAGGTTGCAGGTTGCAGTTGCAGGTAGCAGTGAAGAAGAAGACGCTGCGGGAAGAAGAAAGAAAATAGGGCTTTTTACCAATTGGTCCAAAACGGCTGTGTTTTGGCCCATTGTTTTAAGTATAAAAAAACAAAAAGGTAGACAAACGTTGTCGTTTGCCATGCATGATGACTCAATATTGCTTTAATTTTAAAGCCCAGCCCCCCTGAGCCCTTCCCCAAAGTTCTCTCTTTCCCTGCTGCTTTTCCCCCAATTCCCTATTATTTGGTTCCCTCTTTCCCCCCATTTCAAAACCCTAAATTTCTAATCTCACCCATGACCCAATCCCATATTATAATTACGTAAGTCCAATATCATACATCCACTTGTTTTAATTCTCCACTCCACCACTATTTGGTTCAAAATTCAATTAAGTTTTTTAGAATTCTAATCTAATCTCAATTAAATTATATTAGATATTGATGGAGATTTTTAGTCTATTATTGATATGATTGTTGATATGTTTTATGTTTGTATACTCATTTTATCATTGGAATTTAGATGGAATTTTTGTTTATTGGTTAATCGGTATATGTTTTGTGTTTTTGCTTAAATATGTAGTAGTTTACAAATAAGAAATATGGAAAGATTTTTCCTTCCAAAGCCAATAGCACCATTTATTTGTTCTGGTAGTTCGAGCTCAAGACAAAATGAGTGTGACGTTGATTTTAATAATCTTGAGAGAGACCCAAGAAAAAGAATTCGAATGAAGGACTATTCTTCTAATATTCAAGATGAGGTTCAAAGAACATATTTGCAAATGGGACCTTGTAGGCCTACAAAGCATGAGTTCCTATACACTTTGCATGCAAAGAAAAAACGATGATTTGTTGTTTTGTGATTTTATAGCTTGTAATGTTGTTTTGCGTATGATTTTGAATGAAATGTATTATATTTAACTTTTTAATGTTATTTTTGTCTATAATTTTTTTGAAATTTATTATTGGGACCCCCCGAGTTTAAAATCCTGGATCCGCCACTGTGCATAACTGATTTCATAACCATAATCTATCACAATCACATTCCACATCCCACATCCCACTTCCAACTTTTATATTCTTCGGGGGGTTTTTTGGTTTTTTGTTTTTGGATCAAAAGTAAGTTATTCATTAAGTAAGACTGAATTCATACAAACTAAGGATAGTGTACATAATGAGGCTCGATAAAAGTCTTACCGGCTCGCACAAAAAAGAACTATATTCAAATGAACAATTATTATTACACATAAACACAATTATTACATTCCAAAATAACCGTTACTCAATAAGATCTACTTGTACAATAACGATATTTAATTATGTGCGGACATTGTTCAATAAACCTCCGTTCAAGTCGAGTACAATAGACACCCGTTGCATTGGATATGGTCTTTAATTTCTTCTTTTTTTCCTTGTGGGAAGTGGGAACGTTTGATCATCTTCCATGTACAATATTACGCAAAATCAAAGGCAGAAGATAAAAACAAAAGTACTATTTCTAAAAGCAAGAAAGAGTAGAACGTCTGAGAAACTTCTTGAAGGGAATGGAGTAGGATTTTTTTTTTTTTTTTTTTTCTTTCTCTTTTTTTTTTTCTCCTTTCATATTTGATCGGTTACGGTTAAATCATATTAACTTTTTATATTAATTTTTTTATAGAAATATAAAAATAAAATACAAAATATAAGAGGAGAAGATAATGGAAGGAGACGGAAAGAGGAGGGTGAGAGAATCTAGTCCAGGAAATGGGCCCCTAAATGCTGACACGCACGTGAACCCATTTTAACACGTGCCTCAATCTAATATCTACCGTAACTTCCTACCAATAATCGCTCACTCGGCTGAAGCCGCAAGTCGGTCTCATCCTCCTCTACGCCGTCGGCGCTGGCCTCTCTCGCGCGCTTGGCCCCTAACGCCACCCCGAAAAGCTTCAGTCTCGCCTCTTCTTCCTCTTCCTTCTCCCCCTTGACGGAAAACCGCTTCCCGGGTATCAGATCGAGCGGTTTCAGCTCCGGGAAGCCGCTTTCCCATTGGGAGCACGCGTAATTCGAGACCATGCTGAAGATACTGTTGCATAGGGTCTTGACCTCTGCCAACTCCTTGGTGAGGTGCATGTTCTCCTTCCTCAGCCTCTCGTTCTCCTGCATGAGTTTCGAGGGAGCTCCGTTCGGCGACGAGCTCGACGATATCACCTGCTCGTCGCCGGAATTCGACGGCGACATCATCGGTTTCGCCGCTGGAACCGCCCATGCCGACGCCACCGGCGGTGCCAGAGGCGTGCTTCTCCGACGTTGTATTTCGCAGAGAAGCCGCTTCTGGCCTCTTTGGAAGCAATCATTCGCGAATTCCCATCGGTCCAGCCCAACCTTTCGAAATCCCTGAATTCGAATACAAAACATTCAGAAATTAATAAATTCGGACCGGAAAATCGCCGGAAATTGAAGAATTTGAAACCGAAAGATGCTTACGTAGGTGTTGAGCTGGCGGACGAAGCTGGAGAAGTTGTTGTGCTTGAAGTATTTGGGGAGCAAATCTCTGGCGAAGACGGTGGGGTTCCAGACGACGAAGCTAGATCCGTCGTCGTTCCAGGAGATAACGTCGTTGATTGAGGGATCGTCGACGAGCTGATACGTCTTGATCAAAAACGGCGTCGGCAGAGCTCGCTGCAACGACTCGCCGGACGTGGACTCGCCATTCGGCTCTACCGGCGTCGGAGCCATATCAAAAGCCGCGCCTCTAACGGAAAAGGAAAATTGAAATTAAAATTTGGAGGACGATGAGAGCAAACCAAAGAGAGAGTTGGGTTGGAGAAATGGTGGTGGGAATCGGGAATGGCGGTTCTAGAAGATTCTTGGGGAATTTATAGGGTGGGAAGTTGGGAAGAGAGAGAGAGAGAGATGATGATGAGAGAGAGGGAGTGGGAAAAAAGACAGAGGAACCCACACGAAACTCTTTCACTTTCGAGAAACTTCGAGGTCAGATTTTCGAGAAATTTTTGGGAATATGAGTGGTACATTACGTGTTTTTATATAAATAGTGGAAAATTGTATTTTTTAAGTTATTAATTTTTTAGCATATATATTTTACAATTAGAATAGTTACACATGATATATTATCCTGTGTTCCAATCATACTGAAAAACCTCTTGATTTTTCTTCGGTTGCTGTAAGCCACTTATCAGAGGTTCGTGCGGAAATTGTATTGTGGAAAAATGCTAAATAGATTTTCTCAAAAATAACACTCTATGAAAGTGGCTGCAGTATGAACTGAGTGAAATTAAAACAGATTCAATAATCAGTAATCGGATGATTGTTCATTTAAATTAGATTTTGGAATTCAACAAATTATTCATTAACAGAAAGAAAAAAAATGCAAGATCTGAATACAATCATAAATCAATTAGGAAAAATTACAATAGACAACAAAAAGGGATTTATAACTTCTCCTTTAGCATACAATGTTTTATAATGTTCATATGGAATTGACGTTAAACAATATTTTATATAGTTTCGAATATCCATTTATAACTTTCATTACGTTTACAATGCATGCAAAATCTTAAAAAATTATAAAATGTAAACCACAATCGAAATTCCATTTATGACTTTCATTACGTTTACATGGCATGCAAAATCTAAAAAAATTATAAAATGTAAACCACAATACGTACTTCAATATCTAAATTTGTAAATTGTCACATAATATTACTAATTAATCTCCGTCATAATAATATAATATATTTATGACTTTCTCGATTTATAACCTCCTTAATGTTACATAAGATTTATAAACACTAAGTAGTCTAGCTTTATATTAATTGAAATTACAAGTATTAAGTCCAATTGGTTGAAAACATTTGTCTTTGTACCCGAGTTAATTCAATGTAGATTATCTTATTGTTTGACAATAATGATTTAAAGCATCTAAGTTTAATTATATATAAATGATCATATAACATATTCGGAAAATGATTTTTACATTCATCGTTATATTTAGCTTTTAAATTGGATAAAGCAATAAAAAATGAAATGGAGATTTGAAAAGGATTGTGAATAAGAAGAAAAAAAAACACGTGGAGAACATATTTCCCCCCTTCTACACGGAATGTGATATAAAATCGTGGTCTTTTTTTTACCACTATTCATGAGGAAGTGCATCATCACTTTGTAACATGAGTATATATCAATTTAATCACAGCAAATGGTTTAATGGTAAGGAGACGGACTGCGGTTCCTTAATAAACAAAAAATATGGGAGGTCTCAGGTTAGAGGCTCCAAGTTGGTGAGTGTGCTTGAATGTGGCAGGATGAAATTCTCCATAACCTCTCCGGGCTCGGAAGAAATAAATAATCGTAGCCAGCCACCAGTTGTCCCTTTCAAAGAAATAAAATTAAGTCGTCGACTCATATCATAACACGAGGATTATAAACATAGTCTTGAATATTTTGATAAACAAGATAAACAAAATCTAGTCGTATGGGAGAGCAGAAAGAAGGTACTACACATTCCTAATTTTGACTGCAGATGGCCAAACTGGCGTGCAAAAATCGCAATCTTTGACTCAAATATTTACCATGCGAGACGTAGGTTAGGCTAGTTGATCATAACAATATTTCCGTCACAAAATAGTATGTCCCGGGAGGAAATCTACCCTATTCTGTGCAGATTTTAGTTTGGAATATGGTTTTCTATAACATGTAGTAAACGAGTGTGAATCAATGCAACAACAAACAAAACAGAGGAGGTCAAAGTATATACCAGATAATGCGTTTGATCCTCTCTTCCCCCTTCCCTCCGGGAGGCAGAATTACACAGGTGAGGTAATCAAAATTCCGTTACAAAGCGCAACAACGCTTTCACTCAAATTTCATGAAAAGTCCATCTCAAGGATTAGTCTTGAAGAACAGATCAAATTCTTCAAGACACATACAAAATGCAGCGCCGATAAAGAAAAATGGTCGCTGAACTGTAAATTGTCCAAACAAAGAGAATCCACCAAGCCATAAAGAGAGCCACTTCCTTCACAAGGGCAGAGCACGACGATAGACTACAAATGTATTGGTAATTTTCCGAAGAGATGCCATCAATCTGCGAAAGTCCAAGCAAGAGGAGACTCCCAAGCCAAAAACACCTCGCACTCTTCACCGCCGGTATAAACAAAAAACCCGAAAAGCATCCCATCAAAACAGCAATAAACATTTTCGCAAACCCATCAACAGACTCCAAATGGAAATCAATAAACTTGGGACTAAACGTGAAGCAAATCACATTTCCTAAAACCAATCCCGCAGCCCCTAAAAGCACACTCAGTTGCTTCTCGGAACGCCTCGAAGCGGATATCTCATAAGCAATTTTACCATGCAAAATCAACAGCTTAGAAACACCGGCAAATCCCAGCAGAACCGGAACAAAAACCCCATTAACTAAAAACCCAGAATTTTTATCGTCCGATTCGTTATTCAAGTACGACAACTGAAGCAAAAGACATGAAATTGCAACGAAGGAGAAAGTGAAGGCATTGGAATACTCATTGAAATACAGGTGGGTTTGGAGGTGGGCCTCGTCGAGCTTGAGGCGGAAGATCTGAGCATTGTTTTCATCGAACTCGGGTTTGGATTTGACCTTGACCGCTTCCTGAGCTCGGGGTTAGATTTTGAGGGCTGCCCAGAAGCGGAATCGGGGCCATCGGGCCGGCGGATGGCGGCGCGGACGCCGCTCTGGACGTTGTCGGGGTGGATGTAGGTGTGGAGGCCGCGGAGGAAGAAGATGGGGATTTTGAGGAAGGTGAGGAGGAGGGTGAGAGTGAGGGAGACTGAGAGTTGGAGTATTAGATTCTTGTAGGTGATCAAGAATTGGAGCATTGTTTACTTGGTTTGGGTTTTGAAGGACCAGAGGGTCCAGTTGGGACAAATGCTTGGCAGTTAGGGGGAGAGAGAGAGAGAGAGAGAGAGAGAGAGAGAGAGAATGTGGAGGTTTGAGATCTTAAGATCGATTGGATTCTAAACTTCTTCTGAGGCTGTTGAAGTCGAATGATCCTCTGCATGCTTGTTCTTGTTGCTCGATGTTCTCTATGTTGCTCGATGTTCTCTATGTTGCTGTCAAGGACATACTTTGCCTTTGTGGTAATTGGACTCCTTAGGCCATCTCAAACCGACCGGTTAAACGATCATAGAGCTAAAAATAAATCGAATAACATGAAAATCGTCTCCAATTAAAGGCTATGCTAAAAGGTTTGTGGGCTCCATCGGGCCCAAACCCCCAAATCAGGCTAGCGGACTTGCCATTTCCAGCCAGCGAGCCCTCCAGCTCAGTCCATTTGAATGCCAATAGCTACCTGACATCAGCTAGCAACGGCTATCTAATATCATGCTGCCGTCAGGTTACCGTTGGAATTCGATTTTTGTTTTTGACGAATTTAAATTTTTTATTTTTTTTTCTATAAATACTTACACAATTCCTACAACATTGAAAACTGAAGATAAGAAGTGTCACGTATATAAGAATCTTATCTAAAATTTGCACAACCAATTACATCTCGACAAGTGGCACTCGAAATCCAATCTGAAAATTTATTAAGATTACATAAAGATAAAAAATTTGGAAAGTTACTTACTTTAGCGACACATGTCACTTGAAATCATATCCAAAAAATTGTTGAGCTTACATAAAGATAAGAAATTTAGAGAGTTACTCACGTTAGCGACACGTATTACTCAAAATCCTATCCAAAAGATTATTGAGATTATATAAAGATAAGAAATCTGCATGCTTATTCATTTGGGGACAAGTGACACTCAAAATATGTCCGAAAATATTATTTTAATATGGTAGTTTAATTTAATTAACCATATTAATTTAATTAAAATAATAAATTATGTTTAGTCTATGACCCTTTGGCTCCCTCGAAAGAAGATGGTTTTTTGTCAAGAGGCTATATTTGGTATATGACCCTTTGGCCCCCTCGGTTGGAGATGATATAAAATATGACCTAACACTGTTCATTAAAATATAATTTCTTATAAGATTATAAGGCTAAAGAGAACTTTTTTGCCCTCCTTCAGTTGAAGATAATCTTAGAATAGCCCACCTTCTATCTTGAGTTAGCTTATTGATCACAAATACAAACATAACATTTTATATTTGAGTATAACCTGCGTAACATCGTTCGGGACCATACTATAAGATAATCAACTCGTTGCATGTGTAGTAGAACAAATGATGTGCTTCATTGAGCGGACCTAAGAATTTATTCTACAAGTGGAGAAATTTTTTAGTGTGATCGTTACACGGAGCGGTACACCACGTGTCGCTATATAAATGATAAGATATATGTGTTAAAAAGTTAATAACTTAAAAAATAAAATTTTCCACCACTTATATAAAAACACGTGGTGTACCACCCTTATTCCCGTAACAACTAAAAATTTCTCTTAAAAGTGAGGTTACATGGCATGTCATAATTTGCATGTTGGTGTATAAGTCGTGAATAAACCGTACAAGTGATGCAATGACTAAATCCATACATAACTCTCCATGAATTAAGAAATTCCATTTCAATGAATTATGGAAACAAAGCAATGGAAAATTATTATACAAATTAATTAATATTCATGAACATCTTACACAAATACACTTTAAATTATGTAATCTCCCCATTGTATGTTGATCAATTCACACAACACACATCCAATGATAAAAATCTCTGTCCAAGTTAAATTCACCCAACTATATACTAAAAGATTAGATTCGTCAAAGATTTGAGAATCGAGAATTGAGATTCTCTTCGAATTTAGAAGTCGTAATCAGAAAACTCAGAAATCCGGTATGTTCAAGGGAGAGATCTGAACTTCTAATTTGCTTGAGATGGACCAGTGTGTTGGTTTAACGGTCTCTATACAATTTAAAATGAGTGGTTCGTATCTGGACTCAGATATGAGAAGAGGATCTCAATTCAAGATTTGGTACTATTCTTGACCGATTTCTTATTGGACAAGGATTGTCTGCCCTCCACTTCTGGTGCCCTCCTGTTTGTGTGGTTACGGTTAAACAACGTCAACATTTTATATTACTATTTATTTTTGTCTTATTATATCTATTTTCATAAGGATTCGACGTAACTGTGGAATGCCTGTTGTCTTATTATATCTATAAAAAATAATATAAAATGTTGATGTGGCTTAACAGTAATAACACAAAACAGGAGGGTACCGAAAATGGAGGGTAGACAATCCTTGTCCTTTCTTATTGTCCTTTTTCTCTTCTTTCCTTGAAAGGTTCCCTAACCCATCACCAAATTAATGCAACCTTTTGTCGCCAAAAAATCAATTACACCATCGCTATCGTTTCCCCCAAATAAAAGAAAACCCTAGAAATAATTAATAATTATAAGATTAACATTAGCAAGAACTAATCATATTTATAGAGAAATTTTTCATTGTGATCAGAACATAGAAGATACATCACGTATTTTTATATAAGTGGTGAGAAATTTTATTTTTTAAGTTATTAACATTTTAACATACATATCTCACCATTTATATAATGACACGTGGTGTACCACTTCGTATACCGATCACACTAAAAGTTTTTCTATATCCATGGATGGATGATCTCAGTTCTTAGTTGATAGGTGCAGACCGTGCCAGCTGAGGTGCTTTGTGGTGCTCTATTTCATCTTTATCATCAACCGTTCTGATCTTAATCTGTGGGACCACCTGCGGCGGGGACACGCAATTAATTAAGAAAAGATCAACCCACATACTTAATCAAATGGTATTTATGAGTTGGAATAATATTTTGTTACTCAAATATGAGTAGGAGTTTCTAATTACTTTAAAATTAATTAAAATTAAAATCGTTTAGTCATCGAATAATATAATAAAGAACAAAATTGGTAAAAACATAACGAACCGTCAATGTATTTGCTACAATAAATTGACTAAATGACCTTAACTTTAATTCATTTTTTTAGAGATGATTTTTACAAAGTGCTACAATATATTGACTAAATGACCTTAACTTTAATTCATTTTTTTAGAGATGATTTTTACAAAGTGATTTATATATATATATATATATATATATATATATATATTTAGTATATCGATATTTTTACTCTAAGGAGAGGAGGAGTTCGGCTAGGCCATACAATGGACAACCTAATTTGATATCGAATTCACCATCCACGAGATTCGAACCTAAGACCTCTCATTTCTAAATGAAAATGAATTCCATCAGACCATAGTATTTAGTGACGGCATTCTATCAGTTAAATGTTTGTTAAAATGTGTGTAAAACTGTAAATAGCATTACTAATTTCAGTGTTAATTGCCAACCTGATCTTGTGATGCAATGGACGGCTGAGATGATAACATCCTCGATCTTTTATGACATCTACCGCCCATTCTGCCACCTAGACCAAATATCATTAACCGAATAAGTACTTTTTATTACCACTAAGAAAACTACTAAACGAAAATTAGCAGAATAAATCACATAGCTTCTTACTTGCACCGCATCTCAAAATATCACAAGGTATATTCGATCTGCATTTTTTTTGTAACATAAGGGGTGGCCGTGGATCACCCAAAAAATAGCTCAAATGGTTATTACAGAAAATTCGAGTCCTAGAAATTCAGCCACATCTTATTAGCAGATGACTGAGCTCTAATCTAATCAATAGTTCTCAAAATAATAATACTCAAAATCCATATTCGACTTGCATTTACAGTTTTTGTTTTTTAAACATTTTACGTTCACTATTTTGTTTAGGTGCTGTTTATATATAGAGCCATATATATATTAAACGCATATAAATTCAATTTCTATAATATTGAATTAAGAATCATTTTTGTTCCGGCTCCTAATCAATCTAATCGTTAGACTAAAATCTTGTTTGTTTAAAATTTTGATCGAGGTCTTTAGCCTTATTTAAGATATTTAAGGATTTGGATCCTCGCCGGATCCTCTCCCTGTGATCCTAGGAATCAACGAACACGGACCGCTGATCAAAAATCGTGCTGCCATAATTTTTATATTTTTTATATTTTTCACGCAAAACGATTCTGTTTTATTTTTAAAAATATAAAAAACATTTAATTGGGACCGCATGATTTTTTATCAACGGTCCGTGTTTGTTGATCTCTAGGATTCCCAGGAGGGGATCCGGCGAGGATCCAAATCCATTTAATTCATGCATTTATGCATTTAATGTTTCACAAACTATGAAATTTAAACAAATTCAAATAATATTTTTAAATACCATAAATACTTAAAAATCAATTTTAGAGTAATATTGTTCTTCACAAAAATTATAGCAAAAAAATAATGTACCTACATAATTATTAACATATTTTAAAGGATAAAATAAATATATATAATTAGCATGGGTACATTTAGCTAAATTAAAAATGGGTACAAATAAATTAAAAATATGAATACGAATACGAATACAAATAAAAGTTTAAAAATTATGAGCACAAAAAAGAATTAATAAATGAGTACAAATTAAAATTGAAAAGAAAATTGGTATAAATTAAAAAAAAAAAAAGGTTGCAAATAAAAAATGGATACAAACTACAAAATAAAAATATATGATAAAAATTTTAGCCATGAATATAAATATAACAAATATCACGTTTCTAACACTAAATGAATATATTTAGAAATAAAAAATATTTTATTATTAAAATAATTAATGGTATTTATTAAAATCTAAGGATTTGATAAAAATTGAAAATAAATAAAATTTTAGTCAATAGAGTAGGAAAAATCAGGATGGAAAGTAATTTTTCCTTGAATAAATTACCTTGTGAAGAGTTATGGTTTTTGGAAATTCTGCTGCTGGTTTTGAGATCTAGGGTTGAGTCAGAGGTGTCCGGAAAGTACCGGTCGAGACGAGGAGGACGACGGTGATCCTTCTTCTTCTCAAACATGGCACGCACGAAGGATTCCTCCATGCTGTTCAAAAACTTGACGTGCTTCTCGTTCGTCCACGACCTACTGTTCAACAACTCCATTCTTACTAGTTCCGATCTTAATTCAGCCACCAGCCACGGAGGTTTGGAGCTAGGTTATAGCCACTGGCCGCGCTGTTGGATGATTGAAAATTTTGAAGGGGTAGGTTAGAGACCCATCGAAGCTGCAATACTAAAACATACTATGTGTGAGTATATATTTATATATATGATATTATATATAGAGCATATGTTTTGAGATATTGTTATAGGTTTGCTTGTTTGATATTTAATATTATTTATTTTCGAAAGGGAAAATACTGTCGTGTTTCAGACACACTAAAAATCTATCTGAGTGTTTGGAGGAATAGAAAGTAACCTACTCGCTCTCCTCGGGCGACATGTGTTTGGCTCATCAAAATATCACTATTCAAATATCCCGACTCTCTCCAGAGATATTAATCGTAACAAATTTAGATTTTGTGTGTGTAGGATCTATTATTCTTTGGAAAGATATTTGGACTACTAATTAGTGGACTGCAATTCAATTAATTTATTAAAAAATTAATCGACTAAATGATATTTTTATGAGTGAAAATTCAACACGATATTCATTTTAAGATATTGGAGCAATGCTTTGAAACACGATATCTTAAAAAAAACAAATAATGAGTCTGAGAAGGAAGACTAAAATGGACAGAATTCATACAAATAACTTTAAAGATTTATGGCTCGTTTTAAAATAATTCAAACCGCTTATAAAAATGGGATTTTTTAACTTTAATCCTTTAAGAAGATTGAAATTTAAAATAAACATTGTGTTAGATTACATATTGATTATAATCCTTTGATGTGTGCATTTTATTTAATGTCTCCCATTAAATATTTAAATTTATTAACATACAAATTTTAATTTTTTTTTGACAAAAAAAAGAGTTTTTTAATTTATTAATTTTATTTAACATTCTTCAAACTTGAAAGATTCAATAAATATACATAAATGTGTGCACCGAAATGTATTATATTGAACTAATGTATTTAAATGTTAGCACCGAAATGTATGTACCGAAATGTATGCACCGAAATGTATTATATTAAATTAATGTACATAAATGTGTGTACCAAAATGTATGCATCTAAATGTTAGTATCGAAATGTATTATATTGAATTAATGTACCTAAATGTTTGTATCGAAATATTTGTACCAAAATATATGCATCGAAATGTATTATAATGAATTTAATGTACCTAAATGAAGAAGACAAAATGTATTATAATGAATTTAATGTACCTAAATGAAGAAGACAAAATGATGGGTAAAGCAAATAGTACTAGGATTAACTTTTTAGTATAAAAATATGATTTTTTTTGTTAAAATAAACCGTACCAGAAGCTTTTCGTTAAAGTTTCATAAAAAATAGATATATTAATATCTCTAGGCTTGGGAGAATTTAAAGAGTGGTCCACGTTAGCCTACCCCAAGTGCCCAACAACTAGATTATCAAAAAAATAGAATTTCCAACAAGAAAGGAGATGGAAAACGAAGGGTCGACGGGGCTAGTAACGCGAGTACGAAGCTTTTCTGCAGTCGAGGAGGTACACAGAGGGAGCACGTGGCTGAAAATATCTACAGAGAGGTTTTATTGGTAGAGCAAAATATCTAACACAACTTTATACGTTTTATATTTTTGGTCAAATGAACTTTATATGACCAACACAACTTATGGGCTCCGACAGATATTTTGGGATGATTAAAGACGGTACGACTAGGACTAGGAAGAGTTAAATTACGAAAATATCTCTACATGTCCCTTTTGAGATATGGAGTATTTTTGCGCACCATCCTAATGTTAACTTTTTTCACGTGTTTACTATAAATCTAATCATTTACCACGTGTCATTTTAGTTAATTTTTTTTCAAAGTTGAAAGGGAATTGTTATTGGTATTCCAAATTTTCTATAATTAAAAAAAAAATGCACTTATGAGAGTGCATAATGAGATTTTTGAAGTGCTAATAACAGTTTCCAATTGAAAAAGTAACATTTAATATGAAAGTTAATTAGAGTTAAGTAAAAGGATACATGTAGCTGATAATTAGGTGTATGGTGAGTATACGTCATAATTATAATGGCGAGCAAAAATGCACCCTTTAAGATATTAACATGCTTACCATACTCCAATTGGGTCCCAAGTGGGCCTTGTTGATGTACAATCTGAGGAGCGATAATTTCAGACACGACAATTTTGAAACTAATCATTCAATAAGCATAGGACGATTACACAATTAGATATTGATTATCATGATTAGAACCCGACTAACTCTGACCCAACCCCTAGCAACGGGTTGTGAAAATTGAAAGAGAAAAAAAAAAGAACTCGATTGACGTGGTTTTTATGAATTATATGAATTTTGTATTAGAGAATGGTCGTAATCAACCCAAATATAAACACGACCATGACCCATTGCCGCCCCTAGTTCTGAATCTTCCGACCCCTTATTATTCAATATTTTGTTACATAAATTGGTATGAAACTAAAATACGGGTGATGAAGGTCAAGGTCAAGAATTCGTTCCCATCATTAGATATATATTCTACAGAAAATAATAAACGCACATCATCTTTTTTTTTTCTTTTCCATTCATCTTTTGTTTAGTTATGTCTTTTATTTGTGTTGTCTATTCAATTCGATTATAAATAAAACGAAATGTTGTAGTTGGGAGTAGGATCGTCTTTGTAGGGATTCGAATAATCAATCAATCGTTTTCATTTATCGTACATCGTGCGATCAATTTTCGTTAGGTACAATTTATATTCAATTTAAAATTTAAAATAATTTTTAATCATACAATGTACGATGAACGAATATAATTGATTGATCACCGGATCCCTACAAAGAGGATCCGGAAAGGAACCTTGTCCGTTGTAGCTGGAGCTAGAAAGATAGAAAAACTTTATTATCATTTATTATTTTAATTTACATTCTGTTGGGCCTCTAAGGCCCATAATTTCAACAGAAGAGAAAAAGAGAGCCCATGATGGGCCCACATTCATCAGGTAATCGCGGTCACTCGAGGTTGGTGTGGCGAGCTCGTACGGCTTCAGGGCTCTGACCCAAAACCTCACCCAACTTATACACCACCATCTCAAACAACACAAACAAAGCCCCCTCATACACGCTCCCCATCGGAAGCAACGGCCGAGATTTCATCACATCCCCATCACCACCTGCATCATTCGCCATCGTCTGCGCTGGCACATAGCCCACCACACTCGCGTGCTTCACGCACGATCCGGTCTCCGGCTGGGCCGTCAGCAGCAGGACTCGACCTCCGTTCGATCGAGCAACGGAGCAAAGTGCATCCACAGTGAAAAACCCACCTGGGCCGGCTGAGGCAATGAGTAGATCGGCAGCTGTGATTGGGGGAGTGGTCATGTCGAACACCATGTGGGCCGAGAGGCCTAAGTGGGAAAGGCGCATGCACAAGGCCTTCACCATTAGGCCCTCTCGGCCAACCCCATAGAGGAAGACGCGGCCGTTTCGAGCGGCGGTGGAAGAGAGCTCGGTGACCAAAAGGTCGAGGACCGGCGGGTACGGGTGGGTCGGCACGGTGAAGATAGAGGCTAAGTGGCTGCAAATTTGGAAAGCAAGCTCTGAAGCCATTGGTCTCAGCCTCAAGGGATAAGAGAGTAGTGATCAGTGTGAGCTAAATATGCGAGTGAGGTGTTGCCACTAAGTGACACGTCAGCATTTAAACAAAAATATCTCTCGTCTTTTTTTTTTTTTTTTTTTTTTTTGAGTTGAGCGATATTGTCGTGAAGTTAGAATCAGTTTGCCACTGACGAGGATTAAACCCTCCTGTCATGCAAAGGCGTCGTTCCTCTCCACCACTGTGGTGTGGTAGAAGGACACTTGCTCGGACATTGTTTTATGAAAAGTAAATAAAGTTGAACTATTTACAAACAAAAAGCTTAATAAAAAGATACAAATTGCAGTCAGATGAGCATATATTCTTATCGAGAAGGAACCGAAAACTGTAATCCAAATGTCAGTGAAATGATCAAGGGAAGTCTTAGCTTTGGCTTGATCTTCTAAGCGCCATTCGCCGGAGGTACGGAAGAGTTTTTGGTTGATGAGGTACCATCTTCGTCGATATCTATTTCTTTGACACCGGCAGTTAACGAAGAGGAACCAGATTTCTTCTCCTTCTTATCCATGTCAACATTCTCATCCTCGTCCTCTTCTTCATCGTCGAGCAAAGAAGCTTTCCGCCTGAGTTCTTTTACTTTCTGGAATTCATCATAATGGGCTCTTCTGTGCTCCCTAAAACTCTTGCTTTTCTCGGAATCTGGCAAAGTCCGACAGCAAGAAGGCAGAATAGACAGCCGCAAGTCAGTACAGGATTGTTGGCAGATGAATAGTATAAATGTAACTGAGCGGTAGAAGAATTTGAAAATATGCCCGATTTTATGAACTGGGGAAATGAGAACTAGAAGAGGATTGTTGGCAGATGAATAATAAACCTCTAAATATGTTCATTGGGATCTTATATCATGTGTTTTAGGGCTGGTTTGGTATTGCTGTGCTTTGAAAGAAAGCTGCTGTGAGAATAAGCGGCTGTAAAATAAATCAGCAAAGTGTTTGGTAAACTTTTTTGTAAAAATGCTTTTGGAAAAAAAAAGCAAATAGTGGGTCTTTTCATTAAAGGAGCACCGTAGCTCCGTGTGCTTTGAAAAAAAGCCAGTTTTCCAAAGCTGCAAATAGCAGCTTCACTTTTTGCCTTTAATTTCAGCTTATTCTCACAGCAACTTCCAAAATAACTTTTTTTTTCAGTTTACCAAACACCTAAAACCCTCACAACTTTTTTTCATGGATGCTTTTTTTTAAGCACCTCACTCCCAAACCACCCTTTACACGAAGTAAATTAATATCATCTGATGCAACTTCAATCATATCCATGTATCGATCCAGTTGTATTAGTATTCTAAGCAGTGGATGACTAAAATATGAAACTAATCAGTCGACTGTATTGAAATGTAGTGAAAAGTCGTAAGTCGTAACAAATGCTGATCAAAAGAGTTAAACTTAAGGGGAAAAAAGAAAAGGAGATGAGTGAAGACCTTCATCATCTTGTTCCATAGTATCGGCCTCATCCTCAGATGATGTCCAGCCAGTAGACCGTTGGGTGCTCTTTCTACTTGATGACGCCACATCACTCAAAGCAGTTCGTATTGCTTCTGCATGATCTGCATCACCAACACAATCATCGAAGGTACCGCCCCGCATAGGAGACAGTGATCCTGCCAAGATTATAGTGCCATCGGAAATGATAAGTTTCAACATACAAGAGACCATTTTCCTTTTTCAGGAAACAAGTATTGAGAACCTACAATGAATGAAGCTTTACCATATGAAAAGGTATAATCATCAAAACTTAGAAGATAAGTAAAAACACGGGATTCATGCATATACAGTTGACGGAAACCCACATACCATACTCATCATCGGTCATCATGGGGTGGTATGGCGTCTTCGGCTCAGTAATTTTCTGCCTTACAGGTTTATTTGCTTCAATTTCTCCAATATTAGCCTCGTCCCATCTAACTCGGCCTCTGCCACTCAATGAACAACATCTAAAATCAGTATACCCATATAAACTCCAACCATCTAATAACAAACAGAAAGTAAGCAGAATTTTACAAAAACCGAAACCATTTCCTAAAGCATGACTTGATGCAACATTTCTAAGAATTTAACGTAAACCAAACCCGAAAAGTATAACGAAAACAGCAGGAGACAGATTGAATTACTTCATTTTGCTAAGCAGCTGATTCCGCAAAAGCACACCAACAAGCAACTGATCAACTGAATCGAATTCTCTGAAACAAAATCGCGAAATTCGCTGTTAAATTCTCAAAATTAAGCATAACAACAAATCACAACCGCATACTAGGTCATCAAAACTGCATTAACGATATTGAATTATATACATACAAAAACCTAAAAACCTAAAAAAACAGAAAAATTCAATTCAATTTCTCACAAATTAATCCACGTCTAGTAAAAAAACGCACAACAAGAACAACATACAATACAGCCACAGATCAATAGCGCATTAAAACCCTAATCCACCTAATCTTTCGAAAACGAAGAAAATGAACCTTCGGAAACATGTCGACTAACAACAGTTGGTTAAACGATCGGAAAATTTCCTTTTTCCTTCATTTTCCTGCGTTTTCCGGGAAAATTTAAGCGCAAAAATCAAATTAAAAGTAGGAAAAAGAAGAGAGCAGGAAATATATATAAATTTTGATACCTTCTTACTTCCTTCGGAGAAATTGAGCGTTCGTTCGAAGCGCTGAATCGAATTTTTGTTTGCTGGTTTTATAATTTTCCCGGTTTACTAAATTACCCTAACGAATAGCATTTAATATCGATTGAAGCCATCCAAGGGCTTTCAAGAGTGTGAATATCTCGGACCGTTAAATACAAATTACAACCGCTATGATCTAACCACGTCAGCCAAGGATTTTTGGAATTTGATTCAATTATGACTTGAATTTATGAGAGAGATAACTTTTATTAGGAATTTAGCTAAATCACATAATAAATAATTTTAATTAGTTAAATTTATTTCTTGATTCATAAAAAATCGTTTATGAGACATCTAACTTATAAGTTTAAAGAATGTAACCAAACATAAAAGCAGATAACATTTGTGAGTTATAATTGACGCAACAACAACTAAAAAAAATTTGACGCAATAAAAAACAATATTTTGTTTTTTGTTTTTATAAGAAAACAATAACAACAAAAACAGTGTGGTGAGAAGTGTTGTCTTTGCAAAGTTCGTTGACTTTTTGATCTAATATCTGATATAATAAATCTATCTTTTGTTTAACAAAATAAATAAATAAATTTTTTTTTAACAAAACATTTCCGATACGGTTTATTTTAATAAAAAATCACATTTTTACTCTAAAAAAGCATCCATGATATTATTCACTTACAACATTTTTTTATCCTTTTCGTTAAGGAAATTGTTATTATGATTCCAAAAAACTCACTTAGCACTCCAAACTTTCTATAATTAGATAAAAAAAAAGTGTAAAATTAGATTTTTGAAATGCTAATAACAATTCCCTTCGTTAAAACCCAAAAATTTCAAGTTTATTACTTTTCCTTAAAAAAAAAAAAAACGTAAAAGGTAATTACAAATCTGGGAAATAAAAATATAAGATAGAGAGAGTTTGGAGCTTGAGAAGAAGAAGAAGCTATTATTTGGGGCCCGATTGCGTACGTAGAAGAGTAGCAGCAGCTCTTCCCTCAGACTGTAAGAATTCGAGATTTTGCTTTCATAGGTGAAATTTGTTGGTTGATCTGGATTATTTTATTAAACCCGGTTCTGTCTCTGAATTTTACGGCTGAACGGAATTGGGTCGTGTTAATTTTCATATTTTTTAATTTTTTGGGTCGAACAGCTTTCTGGGTTGGCTTATTTTGTGAGGTTAGTTGGAGATCTCTTTTTTTTTTTTGCTATAATTTTATGCTGTTTTAATGTGTTGTTGATGTTCTTCATTTAAATAAGATGTCAATATTTTGCGAATTGGATTTGGTTGTTGTTCTGCAACTGGAAAAGTTTTTTATTTCTGTAACTTGTGTTGATTCCGGCAATGTGATAAGTGGAATTAGAATTGTATATTTGTGACAAGATTGGAAGGCGAGCCTTGGCGCAACGGAAATGTTGCTCTTTTGTGACCGAAAGGTCAAGGGTTTGAGTCATGAAAACAGCCTATTTGCAAAGCAGGGTAGGGCTGCCTACGATAGATGTTGCCCGCAAAGCGGGAGCCTTGTTGGCTTGGGCTCGTCCTTTTATATTTGTAAAAAGATTGGCCGTTTTTATTGAGTGCGTGCAATGTGAGAAGTGGAATTAGAATTGATGAGGACAGTGAGAAAGTTAATCTGCAAAATGTGTTGAATGCGTGCGAATTCCATTCAGATTTCGGAATTTATATTTGTAACAAGATTGGCCATTTTTATTCTGTTTCAGGCGGTATTTTCGTAGGGTTGAGGAAGATAAAGTTGTTATCGGTTCCAGAGGAGGAACTTGAAGCTTGGTAGGGATAGAATAGTCAACAAATTACACTAGGCAGAGATGTTTTCGTTGTTTTACGGACTATGGAAATATATGTTCAGTAAGACGGAGTTTCATGTGCTCATTCTTGGAATCGACAAGGCTGGGAAGACGGTAATACATCTTCCTGTAATCTTTTAGTTATTGTGCTTTTCGTTGCCATTTTGACATGCTTTTATCTTTGGTCACATTAGTGGATTTTATTCTTCAAGTTTTTAACGATTTTTCAGAAACATCAGATGTAATTTTTAATCTGGTTTTTCTTTGTAGACTTTGCTTGAGAAGTTGAAGTCAATGTACTCAAACTTGGAGGGTCTCCCTCCTGATCGAATTGTTCCAACTGTGGGACTAAATATTGGTCGTATTGAAGCATCAAATACCAAACTTGTGTTCTGGGACCTAGGGGGTCAGGTATGTGAAATATATCCTTGCCATTTATCTTATTTCATCTTTCGTATTCTTTCGTTTAACATAGATTTTCACTCCTTTATTCTAAACCATAAGCTGCTAGCATCAAAATTTAGATGTACTTTTCCTTAGAAAACATTACTAGTTTAGCAGTAGTAGATTGTTATCACGTACCAGGATTGATATAGTCTCCAAGCGTTGCGAATCAGTCGCTTTCTCTAGTATAAATTTTCATTTTTAAAATGGGCAGTCACAAGGGTTGTTTGTTTTGCTGTCAGCCTGGTCTTCGCTCAATCTGGGAGAAATATTATGAAGAAGCACATGCTGTGGTCTTTGTAATTGATGCCACTTGTCCATCACGTTTTGAAGATTCAAAATCTGCATTAGGTAGGTGGTGTTCAATTGCTGAATCTTGTGAGCATATTCTGCCACGTTTGTAATTGTCGTATCCTATGATAGTATAGCTATTAAAGTTGAGGAATAACAAAATTACATGATGCACTGCCCTGATATTACTACTTTTGAAAACCAGAAAAAGTTCTTCGGCATGAGGATTTGCAAGGAGCTCCTCTATTGATTTTGGCCAACAAGCAGGTGAGAGGCTAAATTGTTCTCCGCACAAAATCACAAGCAACCTAGTGATGAATCTTTCAGAATTTTTTGGCTTGCATGTCTTATTAAAACAGAAGTTTCATAAATTTTGCATTTTCTTCAGAATGTACACGCAGAAATCCATGTGCTTAAGTCCTTATTGGGTGACATCTATGTAGTCGGGTTGTAATTTGTTGTGCATCATCGTCCCTAATATATGGAACTGTTTTCTTTTTATATTTGATGTAACCATGTGTTATTTCCTCTGCCATCTATCTTTTTCTATTGTATATGGTTTTTATTTTAAATCTTGTAATGTGAAATCTAGTTATGGCATCCGTAATGTTGATTTAAGCTGCTTTTTAATTAAGATAAAAAAAACAAGATGCTCAATAAATCTCTCCTATTTGTCACTTTGTTGAAATGTCTTCGCAATTGCAGGATGTTGCTGATTCTGTGTCAGCTGAGGAACTTGCTCGATATCTGGATCTTAAAAAGTTGGATGAAAGGGTTTTTATGTTTGAAGCTGTTTCAGCATACGATGGGTAAGTGGATCTTTTCTAGACTCCATTGCTTCACCAAATAGGCAGATAGTTAACTCTTTATTTGCTCCGAACGTGGAAAGGGTAATTTGTCACTTGATGAACCACATTTCACATTGAAAAAAAATTCTCAGCACTGAGATGCCGTAAAATACAAAATGCAATAGCTAAGCACATCGACGTTTGATTGCAGGATGGGGATTAAAGAAAGCGTCGAGTGGTTGGTGGAGGTAATGGAGAGAAGCAAGAGAACTGAAACACTGAGAGCCCGAGCAGGCCCGGCTTCTGCCTAGAATGGCATGTATGAATCGACATGCAGGTTTCTTGCCTTGCTCTGCTTCTGTACCAATTGTGTAAATAAATCAGGCTTTTTGAATTCTAATTAAATTACTACATGATTCAAAGTAAAAAACAAAAATCAAGATTTCACTTGTTGTCTTCCTCCTAGTGTGCTGCTAATTATTGTTCTGTGGATCTTGTTTTTGAATTATTGTTTCCTGCTGTATGGATCATTGAGCGAATTACGCTGTTACGAATCAAGTTGCAGAGTATGAATTTTGTGTCGATATCACCGTTGCAACTTTCTCTCATAAACGATAAGAAACAGAACCGGTAGTACACACAAAGCACGGCAAAATCTAACGATGAGAATCATCAGAAAGCTTAGAGCCTGTTTGGTATTACCTCGAGCGGCGACGATAATCCATCAGATCGACTGGGCATGCCTTCCTCTCCCAGTTCGTTTTGGTTCTCGATAAGTTGTTGGAAGTTGGAGACGAGGTTCTCTTCGTGGGCGCAAATCAGTCAATATCTGTTCATTGGCATAATAATCTCTGCTAGTTTAGCTGCAAACGGCGATTCCGGCCGTGAAAATTTGCAAATAAAAACTTGAGTTATCCCTGGTCTTTGCCTCAGGTTTATCAATGGAGTCTTCACATGTTTCCATCTTAATCATAATTAGTGAACAAACACTTTGCCAATGCAACGAAAAAATAGCTTCAATACTTCGTACTAAAGTTACAGACACTGGGGTTACACATACAGAGATGCAAACAGGCGGAAACTTCACCGAGGCGGTCTCTTCCTAAAAGATCAGCACGAGAGAAGTACAAAAGGTTAGGGGTGGCGTGGAAGGGGGTTGGTACAGAGTGTTCTAGGAGCTGTACAAGGGTTGAAGTCAGTGTCTCTGCCTCCCCTTTTGGTTTACATCTGATCCACCGGAACTGTGTAAACTTCGGCTCCTGGTGTGTCGAGGTTCAGAAAGCGCTTGTTTCTTAAGCACAGGGACCTCCGCATGACAGAACTGCTCGCACAAATCATCCGTTTGGCAGAAGTTATCTAGACCAACATTTTTCAAGGTCAAGTCGCTTGTTCCTTGAGTTTTTGATGAGCTTAGTTGCTGCTGAAAGTATTCCTCGATGTGCGGATCGTAGTCTACTGGGATTGCACCCGTGAGAGTTTTTATAGCAAATTCAATGCATGGATCGGGCCATGAACCCCCAAAAGGCAACTCAGTAGGGGATCCTGACTTCTGTCCAGCATCATCATCCTTTCCAACTTTCCCCCAGCGTTCTGGAATAAAAAGGTTGCCGCTTTCCTGCTTCCCACTGCTCTTATTGTCTATGTCCCCATGATGATCTTTTGGTGTAGTTAGTCCTCCTGAAGAATGGTCACCATCGCTCCTGGCATTGTCAAAACCTATTCCAGTGAGAGTCTCTATTGCAAATGCAATGCAAGGATCCGTGAAGAAATCGCCGAGAGGTAAGTCTGGTTGAAGTCCTGGCTTCTCTTCAGCCTTATAATCGGTTTCAAGTTTTCCTGCATGCTCTTCTGGGCTACTTCGGCTCCCCAATGGGAAAACAGAAGCACACCTTTGCTTAGCGTCACCATTAATTGCTTGTTCCACATTTTGAATATGCTTTTCTGGCTCAACCTCATGATAATCAGGCTGCTGGAATGCACAACTAGGCAAATTACCAAGGGAAGAACCTTCAGTTGTACGGTGTACTCCCTCCCCTGACTGTTTAACAGCAAATCGACGTGCTGGAGTACTTGGTTTCACTTCTGGAACTGGACCAGCTTCAACTCCAGCTAGTCTCATTGAAGCACGGCGAGGAACGATAGGCTCCATCTTGTTCTTTGATTTGCAAAGGTCAAGATGGGTCTTTTTCCCTTCATGTTTTATCAGACCAGTTTCCAGGCATTGCTTATCTGGCGGACCTCCACCTGCAGGAATTGAAATACATTCATTTTTTGTGGAATCACAGTCCTGTTCTTTTTGCTCTGAACCTTTGGATTCTGGAGGATTTAAGCTGCCCACCTCACCTGCAGCATGTCGTGAGTTCGTATCAGATAAAAGCTTATTAACTTAGCGTTGCAGAATAAAAGGTTGGCCTTGGAAATCAGTCGAACTTCCTAAATCATAACGACAAAAAGGAAAATAACTAAGTCAATTTTCAGAGTCTCAACTCCCACTCCCACATAAAAGAAAGAGGAAAGAATAAGGAATATATCTATATGAAAGGACAATACCAAGGGATTGTAAACAAGACGTGAAATTTAAACATTACTCTGATCAGAACTGTGTTCAGGAAGGGACGGGCCTTCGGTTGTATGGCGCGTTCCCTCCCCTGACTGTTCAGTTGCAGCTCGACGGGCTCGAATACTTGTTTTCAGTTCTGGAAATGGACCAACTTCAACTCCAGCTAGTCGCTTTGAAGCACGGCGAGGCAAGATAAGCTCTTTCTTGTTCTTTGATTTGCAGAGGCCAGAACGGTTTATTTCATGTTTTATCATCCCACTTTCCAGGCATTGGTTATCTGGCGGGTCTCCACCAGCAGGAGCTGAAATGCATTCACTTTTTGTGGAATCACCGTCTTGTTCATTTTGCTCTGAACCTTTGGCTTCTGAAGGATTTAAGCTGCCTAATTCAATGCCCACCCCACCTGCAGCATGTCACAGGTTCATGTCAGTTAAAAGATTATTAACTTAGCGTTGCAGAATAAGGGTTGGCCTAGGAAATCAATCAAACTTACCTAAATCTTCAAGACAAAAAAAAAAAAAAAAAAAAAAAAAACTTTCTGGCAATTTTCAGTCTCGAATCCCACAAAAGATGAAAGAACAAGGAATATATCTATGAAGGATGATACCAAGAGATTGTAAATAAGACGTGAATTTGAACATTACTCTGATCAGAAGTATGTTCAGGAAGGTGCAGGCCTTCTCCGTTACATGAACAATTAAGTATCTCTCCATCCTTCGTTGTCTCGTTGAAGTTCAAACTTGCGTTGTCTAATTTCTGTTTCTTGGTTACAGCAGCAATCCAAATAAGGAAAGACATCGATGAAAATCATAATTTTTACTCACAATCAAAATTAATGGCAGGCACAGTAACGTTTAAAATCCAGACAATCCATTTTGTAGTAACTTACAGAGGATTTTTCATCTTCCAATTCCTTATCACTGCTGCCACTCGGCTCGACATTTAACCTTCCTGGCTCCTCATTTTCAAGATAGCGATGCACATCCCTGAGAGAGCGGAATACTTTTTCACTTACAGGAGCAATATAATGCTGCACAGAGACAGAATATCATTCAACGGAGGAGTGAACTTTAGGGATGACCCATGATAAAGAGAATGAGTGGAATGAGCTTGAAACTCAAAGCTCATGGAAACTCTTAACAAGGCCATACTGCGCACGCGCACACACTCACTCGCAGAGAGAGAGAGAGAGAGAGAGAGAGAGAGAGAGAGAGAGAGAGAGAGAGAGAGAGTTCATTACCGTGTCTCTCCTAATCTTACGAGCCTTTTTCGTCATCCGGATTTCTTTGATCCATCCTGGAGGCAGTCTTTCTGCTACAGTCTTCTCAACTACAACCTAAATGCTTGAATAATTAAAGTTTCCATATCTAAATTAGTAAAAGCTGACAATGTTAAACATCTAAATGTAGATAATAAGTAGAAGATTGAGTCAACGGACATCATCTGAAGGTCGCTTGAGAGTCTCCTCAATTTTCTGTTTGTCTTCACGACTGGTTTTGGAGGTGCTGAGATAGCGAGATACCTCCGCCCTGGAACTAAATCTATGTCCACTTGAGGATTCGTAGTAATACTGCAACAAACACAAATTACAAACACCTCTACTAAATCATCTATCGCAAAACATCGTCCAGAGAAACGAAAATAGCTTTCAAGTTGCAAGTGTAGTTCCCTATAAATACTGATGTCGAATTAAGGAACCTGAAACTTTCGAAATTCGACAGTACAAAGCTCAGAGAAGCATAGTATGTTCCACATGTAACACATTCAAAAACAGCAAGCAAAGGTGTCAGATTTAATCCTAAAATCGAACAGACCTAGGAAATGTCTGGTTCGAAGTTCATATCTAAAATGCACACCTCAACGTTACAACTAAATGTCCAAACTTTTGCGGATGTGCTCGAATCCCCTTCCCCGCAGTTTAGATTAGTTTAAAGTAGAATATCGCTCGTATCAAAAATCCAAACTTCCAATCCTCCTCCACTCTTTTACAAGCACAAAAATTGGTTCTTTACCAACTTACAGAATTAAAATTAAGCTTAAACTTAACTAACTACCAAAATTACTTAAGGATCTTGCAGTTCTACTAATTTTCCTAATCAGGGTTTGAAGTAAATAAATAAGTTAAAAGATAGAAAGGAGTGTAATTTTCAGACCTTGTCTCTTCTGCCGTTTTTTCTAACTTTGACCTCCACTGTCCATCCAGCTGGGAGCCATTCCTCGGAGTTCTGGTCCGCCATCGCCGGAGACTGATTTTCCGGGCGACCACCGCCGAAGTACGAGCCGCACTCTCTCCCCCTCTCTCTCTCCCTCTCTGAGTGAAAAGCTTGGAAGGTCTTCAGACCCACGTGTTTACGAAACTGTATTGCGAGAGGCGCAGAAGTTAGAACATGGCAGTTAAAAAGCTGCAGCTTGACGAAGTTGTACTTCAAGGACGGTACTGCCCTCTGTCTTTTACTAAAAGACACTTTTGACTCCAAGTACAATGTTACTCTGAGTGGGGACGCAGAGGATTGAAGTGCGCCACGTGGAATGTGCACTTTCTGGTGACGGAGATTCAACTATTCCACCCGCAAACGGACGACCAGTTAACCTAACTTATCCATTAGCCAATGACACGTGTTGCTCGTTGGATTGCGGAAAAGGATCTTCATCAGATCCTTTTTCTGAGGATTCCGTAATTAAATATAAATACTACTTAATAAAAACTGACTGTACGATATACGATGAACGATTATTATCACAGAATCTCTTGGATCCCAAAAAAAAGATCCGACAAGGATCCTTTTCCCTTACATTTGCTCCCAAATTCACATGCTCTAATAACGCTGAATCAAATATAATTACATATTGCGTATGGTTTCTCATTCCATCGCATTAAAAAATCTCTTCGCCTTCTCAGCCCACCACTACCTCCATGAAACCCAGCACCCTCCTCGTTTTCTTCTCTCTCCGTTCCATTCTCCCTATCTCACTTTTCTGTACGCAAGCTTGATGCCGG